TTTTATATAACATTTGGAATTTATTATGAGATTATTAATAATAATCTCATCAAATAAATAAATGAGATATACATTTATCATTTATATACAAGAGTGTAATGTTAATTTTTACATCCAAAAGATTATTAAAATAAAAAATTAACAAAACATTATTAAAAATTATAAAAACACAAGTTTTTCCTTTTTGTTATTAGTCTCAGCTACTAGAATTTTTATTAACATTTTTATAAAAAATATTGCTTACGAGATAATCATAGTATTAATAAATGATTCTATTTTTATAGTTGTGTTTGTGATGATGTTAATCTTTTTTTCACTCACGAAACAAATGTCTGTCGACACGCAATTTCCAGGAGAAAAACTTATTAGCTAATTGTGGATGCTCATGCCATCATAAACACATATGTTACTGTTATATATATTTAGCATTTATTTATAATATATTTTATATCTCCAAAACTCTTCGATTAATTTAAATGATGTCTTCGGCAAATTTGTTCAAAATTAAATTATCTATAATATTGTCTAACATCATAAAGCCCTACATGAACTCAGTATACTGTAAAATCGACATTGAAAATTAAAATATGTCTTCGAAGAGCTGATTTAAAATAAATGGCATAACTGTCAAACCATTCGATTAATATAAATGATTGGAAAATGTGTACAAAATTAAATTGAATATAGTATTTTTTTTTTCTTTCTACTTATTAATAGTGAATACCAAAATTATATTTAAAAATTTGCAATAATGTAGTTCACTCGAATGATTTTTATAGAGTAAAATCACTCAGCAAAAGTACCATAATTATTATTTATTATTTCGTATCGACTTTAAAGTATACCGATTTGCTGTATGGTTAATAATAATATAAAACTGCAAACTTACCGTTAGATAAAATTAAAACAAATCCACAGTCACTATAAACATATAAAATTAACTCATATAAAGTTTTTAAACGACACCATTTATATATATATAACTATTTATTTTAGTTATAAACACATAATTACTCGATTTGCAATATATTTATGTAAATTTACATTATAATTTGCGAAATAACGTATAAGTTTGTTGCACTCTTTTAGCAAATTTATGTCAAACCGCCATTTTTCTATGTTTTTATCTTCAGCTTCGATATTATCATGCATCTCGCTCTGACACCATATGAGTGAGCGAGCGCGATGTATATGTTGAATGGTAATACTAGTTAAGAAATGTCATCCTAGACATGTTTAAAAAATATATGTAATTAAATATGAATTAAATTCATGTTAGTTTAATTATTATTAAAAAGTTTGTGTGAGTGATGTGTTAAATTTAACGGATTTAGGTAAGTTATAAGTTATAAGTTATAAATATAAGTACTGAGTTGCTGTATGATCTACCCCTTATGTCAAAAATTTTATAGGTTATGTCGTACATTTTCGTTGTATATTGTATATATATATATATATATATATATATATATATATATATAAATATTTGTAATAATTTTGCAGCCCAACCGTCGAATTAAAAAAAGATTAAATAACAAAATTATTTATCGAATTCGAAACGTTTAATGGAATAAATAATTTTGTTATTTAATCTTTTTTTAATTCGACGCTTGGGCTGCAAAATTATTACAAATATGTACCAACGTCGACAAAACTATCATCATATATATATATTAGGGTGGTCCTTAAAATGGTCATTTTCGAATTTCCTTGCTCCCAGAGGCTCAAATGGTTCCAAATTGATAAAAAACAATTCCAAATTGATAACAAACAAGATAGAGCGCAATTCAATCGAAGTTTTGTATGGAAATAGCATGGAAAAATTTTCAAAAATTTAAAAAATGTTTTTTAGATGTAATTTAGCGAACGAATGAATGAATAAAACTCATTCATTTGTCGCTAAGTTATAGCTAAAACATTTTTTTTTAATTTTCAATAAAATTTCCATGCTCTTTCCATACGAAGTTTGACTGAATTGCGCTCTATCTAAACGTTAATATTAAGAGCTAAAACTTTCAGAGAATTGTTTTTGATCAATTTGGAACCATTTGAGCCCCTGGGAGCAAGGAAATTCGAAAATGATCATTTTAAGAACCACCCTAATATATATATATATTAATATATATATATATATATATATATATATATATATATATATTGTGGATAAAGTAAACGAATTTCTATTTGCTACAGAGAGCACAATAAAAGACATCCCAGTATCAAATGTATCCTCCGGCAATTTTGATATAAAAAAGGGAACAAATAAAGAAAACAGGATAATACAAATTAATGTAGTGGAAGAATTAGTCTTGATAAGACAGGGAGCTAAGTAATGCACATGATGTTGGTTTTTCGGGCATGCGTATATACACTGTCACGATGTTTGTCCGGAATGTACTCCTAAACTACTGAACCGATTTTAATTTTTTTTGGTTCACTGTGTGTATTTATATCTAACTTAAGTTATAGGCGGTATTAGAAATCTCAGTTCATATTTGGAGTATTGAAATTTTAGAAATTTCTTTTAACTTTGACGTTTTATATCTAAAATGCCTGATCCTGCAGCAAATAGATAGACATTTTCCCAAGTTTTGGTAACAAAAAAGAAGAATAACATAGCGTTGCTATTACAACTATTATACTATAAATAACTAATTTAAATTTAAAACCCTCATATTTCTATTCCACCACTCGATAAATCCTCCCTCATTAACTTGAAAATCTCATGTACCTACAAGTTGTAGCAGTTACTTTACGAAATGAACTACTTATAAACTATAAGCGAGTGACACTACGTTCGGAGACAAAGGGTAGGTCTCAAAAGCTCCCTTCGTACTCCCTTAAACTTGTACAAAAGCTCGCTCGAGCTTAATTTATAACTAGAAAGTTGCGTTGCGTTGTTTCGGTTGAAGTTGTTGTCAGGAATTTATAATTGTGCAAATCTTAGAATATTACTAATGCTAGAATTAAAGTGTTTATAGCATAGAGTAAATACAGGTACTTAATATCAGTGTCTATGAATTTTTCTTGAGCTGTTTATGATCATACAAGCAGTACCCGATCAAAACAAATCGTTAGATGCATCATCGAATGAAATATCCCCTTCAGCATTCCAGTATAAATATATTGTCAAAATCAACAAAATATATCAACGTCATATTGATTATGTGGATTATTTATAATTACTGGGAAGTTTTTTTTAAATTAGCTCTAATGACGAATGAAACTTACACCAAGTTATTTTTTGTTTTTTTATATGCAATTTATAAATTTAACTTAATGAGTTTTATGCTTGTTTATTGGCAGTAAAAGTCGTGAAAATGTCTATCAATTTATCGTTTGATCAGGCGTATTTTACATATAAACAAGCAAGGAAGAATGCTATGATAATTGCACCATCTAGAATTCTGTTTTTATGCAAAATAGGCCTGATCGCCCGGCAAATAGTAATAATTCACAATTTGACTACCAAAAAAAAAGCATAAGAGAAGAAGATGAACTCTGGTACAGCAGAATTGCCCCATAAATCTGTTTTTGAAGATAGAATTTTTTTTGCCCAAAAATCAGACTTGCTAATTTAATGTTTTTCGGCGATTTCTGAAAGTCATTCTGAATCGTTTGGGACCAAATTTAGAAAATTGTGAAAATTTAAATATGTGTGTAAATGAACCGATATATTTGACCCCCTTTTCCACGTTTTCTTAAAAACTTTCGATTACAATAATGTTAAGGACTGGGCAAATTTTGTTTTTGCAAAAAATACTGAACCGATTTTTAAATTTTTAAAGCGAATCAAAGGAGTTTTTGGCAAAAATTTGCCAGGCGTTTTTTTTTCAAAAAATTAAAGTTTGGAATAACTTTGGACTGTGTTTGTGTACTACTATTAATATAATTAGATATATTATGTCAATTAAATAATTTTTGTTAATTTTTGTGGTTAAATAGACCTTAGCATAGCGTTGTTACTAAAATACGCCTGATTGCACAGCAATTAATTTAACTTTTTCACAGTTTTAGGTACCATGAAAGAATTCTATGGTATGCACTATTTTACCTCAAAATTGGCTTTAACACAAAGTGCCACTTACACCTAGTTATTAAAATATCTATTATTACTATTTTTACTCTTAGTTTTCACTTTTTCATCTATATTATTATTATGATTCAAAATTTCTAATTATTAGGATTTTCACTTTCTTCTATCAAATTGTTCAAAGACAAAAACTTTGGGTGTGGCGTTAATTAAAACTTTGTCAATTAAAAACAATTTCGAGAATGGTTTAATTTTCTTAAAATGCGGCTCATTCCTTTAAGACTTTGATTGTCATCAAAGGATTAAGTTTGGACGAGAAAAATCACATTGTCTCATTATGGAATTTAAATTGGTTCAGTTAATGTTTCGAGAAGATTTAAAAGTAATAAATATAAAAGTAAACTGGATCGTTATAGATAATGGAAAAAGAATTTGTGTTATATTACATACATAAAGGCATACCTTTGAAAGGTAAAGATATGCAAAAATTTGATTTGATTTTTTTTATATTAACCTCACCCTAGGACGTTGATAAAATATATATTATAACAAAATATTTAGCATAATAAACAAAAAAAAATTAAATAAGTTTCTAATAAGATCATTTCAAGTTTTCAATTTACTTCGCAGAGTTTTCTTCAACAATTAATCAATTTGAGATGATTTGTTATGTTTGTTTCTCAGCAACAACAATAACATAAATAGAGACAAAGAAATTCATAAATCTTTTGAATTTCATAGAAATGATATTTATCAGCTTCAAATGATATTAACGACTTTAAAGTTTTGCCATAAATTCACTATTATCGCCTGAAAACCCGCAACCCGTCTCACCCGGGACAAGGGTAGTGAGGGTAGTCTCTCTAAGTTTTGGAAAAGATTTATTATTTAGCGTCTCTATTGTCTATAGAGAAAGATTTATATATATATATATATATATATATACATCTAGAAATATAAAAGCTACTAATTTCTAATTTACGCTTTTATTGTCATTCAATTACAAAACGATCCAAACTTTTCTTGAAAAATTTTTCAGTGCAATTAAATTATTTTTTTTTTAGTTTGAGTTTTATTTTTACAATTCCAATCCAGTATGTTCTTGAATCCAATCCACAAAATGAGCAACATTGGTAAATCCTGAAGGATTTCCTCTGGCACAAGGAACACTTCCAAAACTCACCACACCAACTTGGACACCATCAATGGTCAATGGACCGCCACTGTCACCCTAGGAAAAAATAATAATAATAAATTAGAAAAAATTTTTTTTGAATAATTTGTCAACTTACAGTGCAAATGTTTTGTTTTTCAAATTTGGCACAAAGGATGTAGTCGCGCATGTAAGGGCCCCATACTTTTTTGCAGTCTTCACTTGGTTGGACTTCCAAAGTTGTGTACTGTAGTTTGTCAGGCAATTCGAAAGCAGGGACTAAATAAAAGAAATATTAGAAAATTATTATTTCATACCCCCAATTCACCTGAGCAGATGCTAAAAAAATTGAAATAATAGTGGGCTAACATTTGAGAAATCGTCTGATATATGGAATGTACTATATTTTGCTCATTGGTTACAATTTTTGCTCATTGAAAACAATTATTCTAGGGAAGAAATGATATTTAAAAGTCTATAAGCCCTACATTTTTAACATATATTTATTGATTACTTACAATCTTTGGAGATGCCCCATCCACTAACAGTTGCAGTTTTGCCGACAAAAGTTTCAGTTTTGTCTTTGTTCAATTTTGTGAGTTTCACGAAATCTGCAAAATCAAAAAGTTTACAACTAATAAAAATTACATAATACATATTCTACAATCAATAATTGAGCTTATAATTAAAAACCAATCAAAATAATTTTACTAGTATTTTTAAAACTATGTATTTTATACATTTCGACACTGTATTTGTGTCATCAGATAGAAAGTTTATACCAGAAAAAACTGACAACTGTTTTGTAGCAAAACAAGGACGTAAAATCTTGAAAAATAAATATAAGAAACTAAAAATAAGTAGGGCCCATATTTACGAGTAAATTCTGGAGCTTTCATATCTTTTTTTCCTGGTATTGAATCAGAACCACATACACATGACTTTATCTTGTTTTTTTACTAATTGAAAGATTTATTTGAATACCTTACCATTCAATTCCACTGGTTTGTCCAATTTCAACAAACCAAGATCGTATGCAAGATTTGCCTTGTCGTATTTTTCATGCTGGAAGTACCTTTCAGGTTTCCTGGTTTGCCTGTGAGGTTCTTCAGATTTGCTGATATCATGAGCACCAACGGACACTACCATAGATTTCAAACTAAATAAATAAAAAAACAAAATCATAAATAGTAATAGACTTTAATAATTTCTTGAACAATATTAAAATATTTCTTTGTCTCTATGGGAGATGGCCACTACACCTCACCCCTTGCATTATATTACTATAGCCATTGTTCTGTAGGCAGATGTGGTATACAAAAGTGTGCAAGTGCGTCATTTATATAAAATGATACTAGGTACAATCATAAAATACGATTTTTTTAGGGATTAACAACATTTTTTGTGATTGCTATATTCTTTAAATAGTAGTATATTGAATAGTAGTATGTAGTATGTGTGGAAAATCAGATATGGGGTTAGTTGCAACATGTTAGGATGGTTTTGTCTGGTATGTAATGGAGTTTTTACAGATTTAATGGAATAAAAATTTAACATACTCATCAAAACAGTGAGCAGCAGTCAAAACCCATGAATCTGATAACAAAGCACCACCACATCTGGATTTTTCGTTTCTAATATTTGTCAAGTCCAAGAAAACCTAAAAAATCAACAAAATCTTAAATAAAGTTTTGTTACTTCTTAATTAGTAAACCTAAAACAGATTTTTAAATTTTTATGGTATGAATTTAATCTAACAACTTTCTTGCAAGTTTCTTAAAATGTACTTTAGACTTTTGGAGATTTATGGAATTACTTTTTATAAAAATTATATTTGATTAAATTTTACCTGAATTGGAAATTGTCCAACTCCTGCTTCAAGTCCATTGACGATTCTGCTCGATGGATGGGCCTCAGAAAGTAAAATTTGAATTCAAATACTTTATTCAAACTAAACAATACATTATTCTTCAAGAACAAATTTAAAAAAAATATTTGGTTGGGTTTTTGTAGCACTTAGTAAAATTTTCATTCTTATGTTTTTATTTAATGATTTATTACTATATGTGTTCATAATATTAAATATTAGATAATATTTTTTTATTATTTTTTATGACATTTTTTAATTATTTTTACCTGTACAGAAAATGCACAAGCCAGAACAAATGACACAATCACCGCCGGATTCATTTTGTAATTCCGATAAGGACACTAGAATGATTTCAATCAAATCTAGTTTCTTAATATATATCTAATTTTGTTCTTATCAGAGAAAATTGTACGGGAAACCGGGAGTAAATGAGATAATTTACTAAAAAACATATCAGAGATTTGGCCAGTAGTATTTATTTACTACATTTTGAAGATAAATTTCTCATAAATTATGTTCACGAGTGTATGAATTATTATATATGGTTATAATAAGAATTTTATTAGCTTTTCAATGCCATTATTAGTTTATCATCCGTGCATATATTTTTTTTACAAAATGCACTTTTGTCATGAAAGTGCATGTGCACAATACATTACTAAAAAGAATTTTGCACAAAATTTCAGTTAGTGTATAAATTCATTTTCTAAACTAAAATTCTTGTAAATTGTTAATAAATGTATATATTATTATATACATTTGTAATGATAATTTTATTAGCTATTTAATCCCATTATTCGTTTATTAACTGTTCATATAATTTTTTTCTACAAAATGCACTTTTGTCATAAAAGTTGACGTACTCTTACAACGAATGAAATTGTTCCAATGAAATGTTTATGTACATTTTGAAGCTAAATTTCTCATAAATCACGTTAAAGAATATATAAATCAATATATAACGTTTTAATGGCAATTTTATTAACTATTTAATGCCATTATTCGTTTACTATGCGTACATATAATTTTGCTCTACAAAACGTACTTTTGCCTAAAAAGTGCACATCCTGAAGAATCGCCACGCGACTTACTTTCAAAAATAGTCAGTAATTGTGTCCACAATCCTCCGGTTTCCTCTATGATTTTACCGATGTCGTCATTTAATTTCAATTAACTAACATTTAATCAACTTTAATCGAGTGATTGTTGAAATTTGGCTCTTATTGAAATCCCGGGCTCTTAATCTTTCAAGTGGAAACACTTGAAATGTTATATGGAACTCGATTGATTGTCTTTATTGCGCCGCGATATATCGAAAGATATTAAATTTATGGAACACATTGTTGATTGGAAATTTAATTTTAATAATCAAATCGATTGAATCGATAAATAAATTACTTTAATACTTTCTTTCTTCTAACTATTTCAAACATTCCTCTCCACCGCACCTCGAATAAATCCTTCCTCTGCTACCAAGTATTTCCTCCTCTTCCGAGGAAATTTGTATAAATTCTATATCCGCATATACCTGGTTCTAAATAATTTTTATAATATTCATAACTCGAAGGAAAGCAAAAAAATAAAAAAATAAAATAATAATACGAAATGCTCGTTGGCCTCTAGTAGGATTTTCTCATTTTTCTCGTCGAGCGCCATTTGATTATTCAAGTGGCACGATTTATATTCAGAAAACATTTCTAACCGACGAGAGGAAAAAATATATTCAACATTTACGCGTTCGAGCATCCTGCTGCTCTGCTGCTCCGAAGGAGGAAATGAACAACACACCGCCGGGTACAGGGGAGACCGGAGGAAATAGGGATAAATCAAAATTATATGTACGTGTAATAAACTTATAATGGCATTGAATAGCTTATAATATTCCCAATAAAATGATATATAACATTTTGTACGTTTCTCAACGAAATTTATCAGAATTTTATCTTCAAAAATCAATTTATACACTAACTGGAATTCCATTCAAGATCCATTCGGAAATCGGAGGAGAAAAGGATAAATCATAATTTACAATTTGCAAATTATTGTTTCCGCAGGAGAAAGAAAGAAAGTTTTGAAATCGTCGGTAAGGTTCTACTATATGATCTTCTAGATTGGTAAATAATTTGGTCGTCAGTAGAGTCCTATTTTTATTCTCTCAACTACTTATAAATTTGCTGATCAGTAGAGTTTCATTTCGTATTTTAGATATGTTTACTTTAATAGAGTTCTCTCAAGGGGCCGTCCATTAATCACGTGATCATTTTTTTAGGGATTTCTTGATCTCCTTCCTTCTTGGTGATACGTGGTGATATTCAAAATTACCCTCCCCCCTTCCCCCAGAAAACATTACGTAAATTTTTAGTTACGAGAAAAAAACGTAAAATTTTAGATTTTTTGAAAATGTTTGAATTTTTTAAAAAAAAAATTCAGGTAAAAAAATACACGTGATTAATAGACGCCCTCTTAGCATCTAAAACGTTTTTTAATTTGCTCAACAAATCCTATTTTTTTATTATCTAAAATAATATTGAATTTGCTCATCAGTAGAGTTCCTTTCTTATTTTTCTAACGAGACATTTAGTTTGCTCATGAGTAGAGTCCCTTTCTAATTTTTCTAACCAGACATTCTATTTGCTCGTCAGTAGAGTTCTTTCTTCATCATCTTAAACGATATTTATTTTGCTCGTCATTAGATTCCTATTTTTGTCTTCCAGGTTGATATTAATTTGCTCTTCAGTCGAATCCTATTTTTGTCTTTCAAGTCTATATTCAATTTGTTCGTCAGTAGAGTCTCATTTTTGCCACCTTTGTAAGGTCCTTTTTTATCTCCTATGTTAATATTTATTTTGCTCGTCAGTAGAGTCCCAGACCGGGAGAAAATTAATTAATCATAATTTATCTTGTGGGTACACGAGTAAAAAGGTTCGCCAATGTGATATCAAAAATAAGTTAAGTGTGACATTTTTAGATTAATTAATTCTTAGAAATATGAGATAAGGTCCGCTTGATCAAGTTTTGTTTATTTACTTTTTATGTAAACATATATAAACGTCGTCGTCCAATGTATAAGCTCTTATATTGAGTCTATAAAATACGACTAATGAAAATTACAGCATTGTATTTGAAAACATTTGAAATTTTTCGAGCATTTCATTACCGAATAGGAAGTTCTAGCAATTTGCCTTATGGCACGTTGCCATACACCACTAGTTATTATTAATATTATAATTTGCACTTATATATTCTTATATCTCCAATCAACCCTGTTCTCCCTTAACCCTTACATATGTATGTAAAAATACAAATACCGAAATACAAAAGGAGATTCCTTGGGTATATTCCCATGTCGAAATTTATAGGCCAATCTGTAAAATGGCCACATAGTACATATTCTGCATTTGCATTATTGCCGAAGAAATGCGTGTAAATCCGACGAAATAAAAATATTCGCACGAAACTTTATAATAATAATAAGGGGAACAAATATTGCGGCCGTAAAATAAACAAAACTTTATATGTGCGATTTTTATGCTTTAGGACTATTGCTTCTATTATTACACAACTTTTTTGGAAATGAATGTTTAAATTTTTGTATAACGGTGGGTTACGTAGTCTGAATAGATATAGTAAAATATTATAGGCCTACGATAAGCGGTTGAATTATAAAAAATTATCAAAGTTTAGAATTTTAAAGCATATGCGGGTGTTATGTTTCACATATCTGTAATCTAATTAATACAATTACAGTTATTATAAGTAGGAAAAGCAATACCGGTATACCGAAAAACCGGTATACGCGATATTAAAACCGGTATTCACCTTAAAAACATCTGTATTATCGGTGTTGAAACTTACGCTCTATTTGATACATGTTTACTTTAGTTTAAAACCATTTAAATTTATGTCTCAAAATCGCTTGAATTACATATCGCTTTAGGTCATTCTGTTGTACATATAAACTTCTGTCAACATTTTATCTCGACTTATCCTTCCTTAAGGCAAAATGCCGATTACAACTAGTTTTGTAAATATTTTAATAGATATTTCGATCTGCTATTTGCTCATAAAATGGACAGATGTTACATTTGCAAGTAAAATGATCAAAAATGGAAAAGTTAAGTTGATAACTTCTTAGTCCTCTATATATGTATTTGTACAGTGAAGAAGTCGTCGAGTGATATTAACTTTTTTTGTTAGCAAGACTTTTCCGACAAAACTTTTTCGTTTGGCAAAGAGATAAAAACATTAGAGCCGCAGCCAAAGCCCCGACCGGCGAATACATGCGAATAATTTGCATAGGGGCGATTTTTGAAATATGCTTCTGTCGTTAGGCGCTTTATATTGGATTTACGACGACTTTTGGGAATATATTATTGTGAAAAATTTTTAACACATCGATCATAATAAACCTCCAGCCGGGGTAATCGAACTACCCAAACAAGGATTATTGTGAATAAATAAGTCCTTGGACGTTGTCCTTCTCTGATATCAGTCATAATGTGAAATGTCAAGTATATAATATGATCTGAGGTGCTCAGTGTAGATTTATCCCTTTTCCCTACGTTTTGTTTGAGGAAAAACATCCGTCAGATCATCATCATCTAGTGCCTTTTAGTATGATAAGGGTATAATGCACACACAAGAGACAAACATCCACGTAAACTATCCCTTCGGACAACAGGGGCGATAAAACATCACCAAACACAAGTATATATATATATATGTATATATATATATATATATATATATATTAGGGTGGTCCTTAATATGGATATTTTCGAATTTCTTTGCTCCCAAGGGCTCAAATGCTTCCAAATTGATAAAAAAAATCTCTACAAGTTTTAGCTCTTAATATTATCATTTATAGATAGTCCGCATTCAATTAAAAGTTTCGCATGTTTTTTATATCATTAAGTAAATTCTTGCGCCATCTGTGATAGCAACCTTGTAATTTTGATGTTACTGATAATTTGACTGTCACTTAAATAAATATTTTGATGCAAAATTAATCTTGAATAAATATTTCGTTAAACAGTCCACATGGATTTTATTAGAGGTTAAGCTATTTATTATTATTTTTAAGTGTCATAATATTTGAGTTCACAAATGCTATTAACAGATGGCGCAAGAATTTACTTGATGACATATGCTAATAATATGTATACGAAATTTTTAGTTGAATTACGGACTATCTAAATGTTAATATCAAGAGATAAAATATTTGTTTTATTAATTTAGAAGCATTTGGGCCCTTGGGAACGAAGAAATTCGATTGAAAATCGAAAAAAATCGATTAAAATTCAAAATATTAAAGACCACCCTAAAGTTTATATCGGCCC